GACCAACTGCCAACCAAAAGTAACTGCTAAACAATATTAGCTAGAATTTCTTTTTTTTTAAAAAAACTGTTATTTAATGAACGAGATTTGAAACTTTCCGTAATTTTTTTCGAAGTTTTAAATCAGTGAAATTGCAGGGATTGTGGTGAAATGACAACAGCTGGGCCAGATTTTGAACGTGCACCAACGTGTAGCGATGAACCGAATATTCTCTATGCCTGGGGTAGGGATGCCCCTGAACTGCATCTTCCCAAAGGTATATTTGTCATTCCTACCGTATTATTCAGTTCTGCAATAGATTTGGGTGAGAAAAGTTGTGCGTTGTACGATTTGAAATGTTTATCCAATAATTTTCCTTCTATGTTCAGTGTACCATAGGGTAAATAGGGCATAAAATCGGGTAAAGAGAAAAAAAATGGACCAAGAAATCTGTAAAATCGCCTATTCTTGCTATCAGTTCAAGACTACATCGGCTACTCTGCTTTACTTAGAAATTGTGGTTTTGAAATATAGAAATACTCAGTGGAGTTTGATTTTCAACATTTTTTTGTTACGGCTTGTTGAAAACAATTTGACTGGCTAATTTATTCATATATGGTTGGCAATTATATGATAGAATTTCTATGCTAATAAAGCTTTTACGGGAAATTAAAATGGACAAAGATTGCAGGCGTAGGTTTCAAAGTTGGCGGTGATACGGGTATCCAGTACATTGTACTACAAGTACATTACATGACCAGACTTGGACCTGATTATTCCGGTGTGGCGATCGAATCAACCGTTGAGCCGATGGAAAAGAGAGCGTCAACCCTTCTGATGGTCACTGGAGGGACGCTGCCGCCCAATGCTAAAGGTTGCACCATTCTCTTGCATTCAATTTTAGCCTTTACAGGAAAGAGCGACAACCCTTCTGATGATAACTGAGAGGATAATATCACCCAGTGCTAACGGTTGCATCATTATCCTGTATTCAGCTGAAGGGCTGCAGCCAAGATGAATGAAAAAATGTAAAAAATTGGTTTTTGTTATAAAAAGTGCAATAAAAAAAAATCATATTCGCTCTTAATGCAAAACGGAAGAAATCCGCGGTTGCCTAAGTAGCAGCAAATGCCTACATCAAGCACTCTCTGGCAAGGGTTGTCGATAACTCTTTCTTTCGAAGGTTACTTAAAAGCAAATTGTTGGCGGTTTTGACTCCCCGAAGCGTTTCAATGTTATTAGCATCGAAAAGAAGCTCTGTAGGTAGTGTTCTCGAAATCCCAATCTCTACAACTTTTTTTAGCTCCTAATTTGAAAAATGTGGACACACAAAGTTACATAATGACTTTCGATAGTGAGTTTCTGATCTATTTATGTAAAAATACACGAAAAGCGACTTTTTTCTATACGGCTGTTCTTTAAAAATTTCGATCTATAGCAGCTGTTTTTGGTGCTTTTAAACTATTTTTCCAGTGAATGGCTTTTTTTTTCAGAAACATTCGAAACGGCATGCGTTATTGACGAGGATATTGAAATGCACCCATTTGCATTTCGCCCTCACACTCATCGTCATGGCGAAATGGTTAGCTTCTGCATATTTTTCAGCCCGACAAATTACTACCTCCCTCCCTCTTCGAAAAGAAGTTGAGTAAGAAAACTATTTTAAAAAAAATTAAAAAGAATGCGAGGACCACCTGTGTAATCTGGGGATCTGCATATTAATGATGCAGCTGAGTTGTTCTTACATGCCGGGCGCAGCTATGCTAGTTCTTTCGATCCTGAATTCAGGGCTACAAGCCTCCGACTAGCACCAACTTCCATTTCGACGTATGTGTGTCAGGATCTTGAGGCTGCCTAGGTGCTCATTTTTTTCATTACGAGCGCCAATCATTAGTACCTGTGAAATACTGGCCCTCGGAGTTCGGGAGGTTAAATGTGCAGCTATGTGGTATGTCAGTTGTAGGTGTCGACTTCAGTGACCCGACAAATGGAAAGTTGCTGTTCGCAAAAAAAAGGCCACGCTAGAAGAGTTAAATTTAAAATTTTTTAGTCGCACATGAGCGGGGAACATACCTCTTAAACCGGGAAGTTAATTGTGCAGCTATTTGGTATGTCAGTTGTAGGTGTCGACTTCAGTGACCCGACAAATGGAAAGTTGCTGGTCCGCAAAAAGCTCCACGCTAATCTTTCATCAGTTATCAGCAAAACGACAGATTAATTTTCCAGAAATACCTTATGAAACCTTGTGAAACTATAAAAAAAAGAATGTAAAATAAGCAATGTATAAAACATAGGCATAATTAATAAGCAAGACCGTAGAAT